CCCTTCTCCGGGAGGGCAGATCCGCATGGCCCCCCCCCCAATAGCTAGCAATCCAAAACAGTCCAGTGGAGCCCGAGCAGTGGGTGTTGCCTTCTGACTCACTTCCAGTGATGTCAGGGGGTGTGGCATATGCAAATGAGTTATGCTAATGAGCTCCTGCACCTCCCTTTCTACGAAATGACCCCTGTATCTATCTATCTATCTATCTATCTATCTATCTATCTATCCATCCATCCATCCATCCATCCATCTATCATCTATCTATCATCTATCTATCTCTAGGAAAACAAACAGTATAAAGAAAATACAGAAAAGGAAAAATAATTATATATCATAAACAAAAAACAAGAGATAAAAATATTTTTCCCCAACATTCCCTTCATTACATTGAAGGGTTTTTGGAACACTGTCTATAAGGTACAATAAAATTATTTCTGTTGGGATACATTTATAATCCACAGTTTATATTTCACAATTCGTAACTAATCTGTTTCTCAAATAAATTATTAGTTTCACCATTGCTGCATACACAGTACTGCCTACTTTTGCCATCACTTTTGCCATTACTGCACAATGCAGTCTTGACGCACTACAACAATTGTTTGCAACTGGATTCTCCTGTGTGGAAAGGGCTGTGGTTCAGCGGTCGAGCATCTGCCTGACATGCAGAAGGTCCCAGGTTCACCCCACGACATCTCCAGTTACGAGGACCAGGCAATAGGGGATGTGAAGGACTTCTTCCCAAGACCCTGGAGAGCCACTGCCAGTCTGAGTAGACAAGACTGACCTGGATGGACTGCTAGCCTGATTCAGTGGGCGATTCTGCATCTCGCATTCGCTCTGAATTTTCTCAACTGGGAGGAAAAGGTGCAGCTCAAAACCACATTCAGATACCTCGGGGCGATGCCGTACTGACTGCAAAGTCACCCCTGAACGGCCATAAATCTATGCGGAAGGTACCGTAAAGCTCGATGATCAAAGAAAGCGAAAGTGCATTCAGTGTAGAGGGCACCAAAAAAACCCAATGATCAAAGAAAGTGAAAGCGGCATGCATTGTAAAGGGTACCATAAAACCCTATGCTCAAAGAAAGTGAAAGCAGCACACAATGCAGAGGGGGATTTCTGTTCCAACTTGGTTTTCGTAAAACAACAGAGGGAAAAGCCAGTGCAGAGGGAAAAGCCAGTGCAGAGGGAAAAGCCAGTAGAAGGCAGCCTCTGTGTCTTCATCATCCAATGTGTGTGAGAGCAGCCAAAGACAACATTCAGGGGGCTTTAGCTTACTGACCTGTGAATGCTCCTCCGACCAAAGCAATCCCGATTGAACACCCAAGAGCTGCCGCCTGCATTCCAGCCGATATTCTAAAATAGGGTGAAATAAAACAACGCGTATATCTTTCACAGACACGCTCATTTGCACATACAACAGAAGAGGTCAATATGGTAACTACATGAAACTGTACATGTAAATTTTCATGCAAAATACAACAAAATATCCTTCAGTTTAAAACAAAATAGGCCCTGCGAAACAATATGGCTTTCCAAATCTGTGAGCGTCCCAGCTCAACGCTATGATCTCTGACTGTCCCAACACACAACTATGATGGGTCCACTTGATGTCAATGCGATGTGGTTCATCCCTGGTCTTCATGACCTCACTGACTGCCCCCTTTCCTTGAGCACTCACAGGAAGAAGGAGAGCCAGGGCTATTTTGGGGCAGGAACGCACAGGAACGGAGTTCCGGCTGGCTCCCAAGTTGGCCACGCCCAGCAGGGACTCATTAGCATAATAGGCCACACCCAACAGCAGGAACTCATTAGGATTGGCTACATTAGGGGTGTGTGGCCTAACATGCAAAGGAGTTCCCGCTACAAAAAAGGCCCTGGGTTTTGACAACAAACAAGGTAAACAGAATAAGAAGGGAAAGGTGGGTGTGGCTGAATGATCACTCTTCTGGTAACAGGGTGTGTGTGGCCTAATATGCTAATGAGCTGTGCTGTCAGGGGTGTGGCCTAATATGCTAATGGGTTTCTGCTGTTGGGTGTGGCCTGTTATACTAATGAGTTCCTGCTGGGCTTTTTCTACAAAAAAAGACCTACAATTCCAACTCTGAGGAGACCTACAATTCCAACTCTGTAATTTCCCACGGAAGAGCCTGGGAAGAGAAGGTCAAGGGGAAGCATCGAGCCTTCCTTGCTTCTGTGGTGATCTGGACAAACCAATGGCCATCGAGTTCTCCCTCCAATGCAAGAAGGTCACTGGAACTTTGTTACAAGAATTTGTTTCAGCTCAGTCAGCTAACAGAAGACAGGCGTGATTATTTCCCACTCGGCAGAGAATTCTCAAGAGTAGGGTTACCAGCCTCCGGGGGGGGGGGGCTGGAGATCTCACGCTTTTACAACCGATCTCCGGCTGACAGAGATCGGGTCCCCTGGAGAAAATGGCTGCTTTGAAGGGCGGGCTCTGTGGCATACCTCCCCTCCCCAAACCCCGCCCTCTCCCAAATCCGCCCCCAAAGTCTCCATCTATTTTCCAACCCAAACCTGGCAACCCTACTCAAGAGGAACCATCTTGGCTGTCTGAATAATAGGCAACTGAGCCCTGTCTTACCCCAGGCCATTGGCAGAACCATACAAAATGTCCACAACTCTCCCACCCCGATTGACAACGTTTCATTTGTGCAACATTTTAGTTATGTTACACAGTCAGGGCAACCAACTCTGATGGGTCTTGGGAAGGTTGTGTGAGCTACCACACTCGGCCCAATTGCATCTCTGTCTCTTCCCCAATCTCTTTTCCAGTCTTCAAAGCTTCCCATGTATTGCAGAAGTGCTCCTAATGGGTTTTAATAGGACCCTTGTAGCAGAAGTGCAATGGTAGAAGAAGAGATTAGATTTATACCCCGCCCTTCACTACCCGAAGGAGTCTCAGAGCGGCTTACAATCTCCTTTCCCTTCATCTCCCCACAACAGACACCCTGTGAGGTAGGTGGGGCTGAGAGAGCTCTGAGAGAACTGCCCTTGAGAGAACAGCGCTGAGAGAACTTGTGACTGACCCAAGGTCACACCAGCAGGTGCATGTGGAGGAGTGGGGAATCAACCCCGGTTCTCCCAGATTAGAGTCTGCGCTCCTAACCACTATACCAAACTGGCTATGTTGTGCTAGGGCAGAGGCTGGAGACAGCTCTTGTTGCATCAACAGAATGTCTAAACCAGGTGTCCCCAACATTTTTGAGTGTGCAGGCACCTTTGGACTTCTGACACAGCAAGGTGGACACAGCCACACAATGGCTGCTGCAGAAGGCGGGGGCAGCCACAAAATTGCTGCCGCAGCTTAACTTCAGTCACAGTGAAGATTGTTATGCTGTAGGGGCAGCTGCTGCCATAGCAACGTTCTTAAAAATCCACACAGTCAATCAAATCTCCAATGGCCAATCAGAAGACTTACTGGGCAAAAGCCCCACTTAGCCCCACCCATTTTCTAAAAACTGTTGGTGGGTGCCATGAAGGATGTCTGCAGGTGCCACGGAGCCCACCAGAACCACGTTGGGGACCCCCGGTCTACACTCTTCTTCTCGTGCTGATGTGTGACAGATTTTAGGATTGGACTAAAGAAAGAATGGGCATTCCAATGAACGATGGACGGACAGATGGATAATTTCCGGCAATTGCAGAAACAAACATTACACAACCTGTTAAAATACCCTTTGACCGACAGATTAAAAGCTGTAAACATATTGCACGGCTGGACAAAATATTTTAAAAACTCACTGAGTGTTAACCTGCACAGCAGCAGCAATGATGCTTGCAATTCCCCCCAGAATTCCAGGTAAACCGTGCAGGTTGTGGACGCCGCAGGTGTCCTGAATCCTCAGGAACGAGGCAACAATTGGCTGAAAGGCAGGAAATGAGATTAGCTGTGCAATGGTTTTCACTGTGAGGTAATTAAATAGTTTTTGAAATAGATATATCAAAAAAGATAATGAAGGCTGCAGTTTCTTCTTCCCCCTTATGGGATGTGCCGTTCCAAATCCGGTTTCCTCAAAGAGGAAATGTTTTTAAAAATACATTTTCAGTGGTATCTTACCCATACATTAGCCTGTGTATATAAGATAAAGCTCCTTATATGCCGATTCAGTTCTTGTTTTCACAGCATTCCCCAATGATCTTTTGGGGAACTGTTGTTGGGTTTGTTGATGACATGTTGTGTTGTAATACACCTTACGGACCTAACCTAATAAAATCACTTCATCTAATGTTTAGAGTTAGTGTTGATTTGTTTGCCGGTGGTAAAATAGGAATAGCTGCACACTGGCCAAAAAACAGAACTTCCATGAATGTCTGACTAGTTTAACAATTTGTTCGTTCATTCATTCAAACAACCATACCCACCCTATGAAATGAAGGAACAAATCAACACTAGGCTGTTAACAGGATCTTAGGGCAGGGGCCATGGTTCGGTGGTTGAGCATCTATTTGGCATGCAGAAGGTCCCAGGTTCAATTCGCAGCAACTCCAACTAAAAGGATCAGACAGTAGGTGATGTGAGAGACCTCTGCCTGAGACCCTCGAGAGTTACTGCCAGGCTGTGTAGACAATACTGACTTTGATGGAGAAATGGTCTGATTCAGTTTAAGGCAGCTTCATGTCTTCAATGGTACCCAGGAGATGTCTAGCCCACTTCTTAGCTGTAATGAACTTGATAGATTAAGTTCCAGGTCTAATAAGATGATTCAACATTTGTTCAGGACTCAGAGAGTGTGTTCAGACGCGGCGTTTCAGCCGGCATAAACTGTACCGGTTGGAACCGGTGCAGTTTATGCCGGCTGAAATGCGATCACACTCACCTCCATTTTGTGGATCCCATCGCTGTATGCCCGCTCACACACTGCGGGCATCGCCTTTTTTTTTTAACTCAGTTTGAGCATGCGCATAGGCAGCCATTCACAGAATGTTGATCTTTGTGCATGCTCAAAACACCCCATATTACATTTAAACTTTAAAGGTAAGGACTTGCCTTTAAAGTTTAAAGGCCAAACTGGCTTCCCTGAAGTCCTGGACTACTCCAAAACGCTACACTAAGGGCTTTTTAAAAAAAAACACAAAACAAAAAACGCTCAGGGTGAAGCTTTGCCCAAGCGCACATCGCTTAGTTAAAAAAAAATGGTGGGGGAAAATCGGAAGCCTCAGGCTTCCGAACGGAAGTGGCTAGACACCGGTGGAGATCGATCAGACGGCGGGGTTAAGCGAATGCAACTGTTGCACTCAGGATACCACCACTTGGGGACCTAGTGGCAGAGTGCAACGGTTTAAAGGGCTTTACAACGGTTAGGGAGGGAAGACAGATATTCGCCGTCTGAATGCCAGTAAGTACAACAATTGCAACGGGCACAGATTCCGTTGTAAAGCCCCCGTCTGAACACACCCTAAGTGTGTTCAGATTCTGGCTTACTCAGAAGTGCTACCTTGCTGATCATTAACACCTGCAGAACAGCTTTCATTTCCCCAAGGTTTGACCTTGGGAAACAGAACCAAAGTTAAATCTGTTGGGTTTTGCCACAGCCAGAGTGGCACTGGTTCTGCTGCTGGCCTTGCAAACATGCCCCCTCCCCACACTTCACTTTCTACTGCAGAAATTCTCTTGGAGAATCTGCTGGGCTTGTTGTATGCTTGCCTTACTTTTTCCCCACTGTTGGAAACAATGGAGGATGGAGGCACCCTATTTGGGTGCCCATAGAATTGGACCCCCGGCTCAATCTTTTTGAAATTTGGGGGTTCTTTTGGGGAGAGGTTCCAGCAGCTATGCTGCAGGTTTGGTGCCTCTACCTCAAATCCTCTCCTCTCCAGCCCACTGAATGTACCCTAGGAGATTTGCCGGTGACTATAACGGCCCCATAGGGTATAATGGAGCCAAAAAATTAGGGATTCCTGAATTTTATCCAAATTCCAATACAATATTGATATTGGAATTCAGGTTTTCAAGGCAATACCAAATTTCTGAATCTGAAAAATACCATTTTTTTCCCCTTGCACATCGCTAGTTCCAACCCCAGACAGTATTCTCAGACTTTGGCTGAGATGCTACTTAGAGACCAGAGGGTCCACTACCGTAGTAGTGACCTGCTTTTACTGTAAACAACCAGGCCTCATGAGGTCCAAATGTCCACAACTTGTGCCAAAGATTGAGATAAATCGACTCAGGGTGCAAGTGATTTCAAGTCACCCACAGAGTCAAGTAAACCACCAGATTCATCCACCAGAAGCAGATTGTGACGATGAAATCTTGGATTGTAAGTTGGCTGCTTCAATAGGGTAAATTAGATTTACACTGGATTGGGCCTTTTGAAGTCGCAAAATGCTGTGAAAATAAAAATTATGAAGATAAAGGTCTTGCAAGGGGCACTGTGCTAGTTCATAATAATTGTTTAAAGAAATTGATTGTTAGAGGAGCTGTCATGGGTCAGCCAGGGCTCAGTGAGGATTCATCAGGAGAAGAGGATTTCTCAGGAGAAGAGGAGCCCCGTGTAGCCAGCTCTGAGTCAGTAGAAGCCAGTAAGCAGTTCAGGAGTCACAGCCAACAGCTGATGTAGAGCTACTGACACCCTCCAACCCTGATTCAGCAGGTGAAACTAATGATTGTTCCCAGCCCTCCAGTATCACCAATACCCTTTGAGCACCACAGACAGAGGCTATGAGCAGAACTACAGGGGAGATGACAGAGTGCTTGCCTCCTGGACCAAGATCAGCTGTTTGAGTAGTTGTAGAATTACTCCTGAGAAGCTGGCTGAAAATTTGACTCTTAGGCACATGCTTATAAAAACTAGCCAAGGGAGGCTGTTAGGTGTGGAAGCAAGAAGTTGTTCTACCACTGAGTCTGTGACCATAGCCTTGGAGCCTGCCTTGCTTGTATAACCTGTGGACTGGCTTCTGACTATGGCTTTTGGCTCTGCTAGATTCCTGCTTGTGAATAACCCCTCTACTACTTGACAACCTCATGGACAACCCCTTGGTAATGGCTTGCTTGGCTCTGAACTCTTGTACTGGACTTCTGACTTGGTTTCTCTTGCTTGGACTTTGGCTGCCCCCCAGGAACCCATTCAGGCTCTGCCTGACCTGTGACAGAGGCACAGTTGATGTCAATTGAAGCATAGCCTGAGAAAGATTTCAATGTTCCTGATTTGTTAACAGATGCTGAGCAATCAGAAGGACTATCTCAGTTACCTATCAATAAGAACTTGACTGAGTGCCTGTATAGGCAGTTAATAAATGTCCTGCAAGATTTTGCCCCAGTGTTTACCAACAGGCCTGGAAAAACTAGTTCAGTGGTTCATGACATAGATACAGGGGATGCTCAGCCCATTAAATGCTATTTGTATCCAATCGGAGGCCCACTGTGTGAAATAGTGAGACAAGAGATTGAGAAAATGTTGCAGATGGGAGTTATTGAGCCTTGTACCTCAGAACAGAGCAGTAATCTTGTGATTGTTACTAAAAAGAAACTGAAGATGATCCCCCACAGTACTGTTTGTGTGTGGGCTTTAGGAAGCTGAATAAGCTTTGTATTCACCTAATATGGAGGCAGTGCTGAAAAAACTGGTGCATGCTCAATATATTACTATCTTTGATCTTACTAGTGGATATTGGCAGGTACCATTAACTGAACAAGCTGAAGTGAGAACATCGTTTACATGCTTTATGGGACAGTTTGTTTTAATGTGCTTCTATTCCAGCTAGCAAGGTGTTCCAAAGGTTAATGGATCAAATGCTCCAAGGGGTGGATTGTGCTGTAGCCTATCAAGATGATATAGCTGTGATTAGTTCCAGTTGGGAAGAACATCTGCATCACTTAAGTATTGTACTACAGAAGATTTGAGAGGTGGGTTTGACAATCAAGCCAGCCAAGTGTCAAATTGCAAATTCTTCTGTTGTGTATTTGGGACATCAGATTGGGGGAGGGGAAATTTCACCTCATGCTGCCAAGATTCAGGCAATTATTAATTGGCCTACCCTAGTGACAAAGAAACAGCTCCTTAGTTATTGGGGGGCTTGTGAATTTTATAGAAGGTTTATTCCAAATTACAGCAATTTGGCAGCACCTCGTATTGACTTGTGCAAAAAAATGTACCTGCTAAAATACAGTGAACAGTTGTGTATCAAAGGGCCTTTGAGATTCTTAAAGAAAAGTTTGCTCAGGCCCCAGTTCTTAAACCACCAGACTACTCTCAGCCCTTTGTGGTGAGTACAGATGCCAGTCATTTTGGTTTATGGGTTGTATTGTCACAGAATGATCAAAATGAATCTCTGCATCTTGTAGTTATCTTAGTCATTAGCTACTCCCCAGAGAAAGAAAGTATAATGATATTGAACAAGAGGCTTTGGCTCTTGTCTGGGGACTGGACAAGTTTAAGACCTATCTGAGAGGTACTCATTTCCACCTTGAAACAGACCATAATCCATTTACCTTCATTCATAGAATGAAATATGCCAGTTCTAGAATATTGAGGTAAACTCTGTCCTTGCAAGAATTGTCATTTGATGTCACTCATATAAGAGGAAGGGATAATGCTTTGGCAGATTCCCTTTCCATGTGTTATGATTATTCTGAGTAGAGTTGTGTGTGCCAATTGAGGTATTTATCTGTATTCTGAGGGTTTTTTGCATATTTTAATGTAATCCTATTTTATATGAGTAGTGCTGATATACTCCACCAATATCTATGTGTGCTTTAGAAGTTGTTATGCATGTAAGATGTTTTGATGATATATACATATATATTTTTATTGTTTTGACACAAAGTAGAGGTTTTATTTCTTGTCAATGTGGGGGGATGTAATTAATGTGATAGCTTAAGTTCCATGGTCTAATAAGATGGTTGAAATTTGGTTCAGGACTGTAAGTGGTGTTCAGATTCTGGCTTACTCAGGCCCTGGTCACATGGGAGGTTTTGGCCCGGAAGAGGGACGGATTGGGGGTGCAGCAAATGGGTGCGATCCCACCGCAACATCTGGGAATCGGCGCACACCCGTTCCCGATCCATCCCTTCAGAATGAAAATGCGGTGCAAAAAAGAACCTACTAACTGGTAGGACTTCCCTGAAGCACCGCAGCAAGCACGGCCGTGAGATCGCCGGCGCGCTCATCTGCAGGAGCAATCGAGGCTCCCAGCTGAACTGCGCACGTGCACACATGTGCAGTTCGGCTTTCCTGTCAGTGGCTTTCCCCCGGAATCTGATCGTGCCGGGGAGGAACTGTGCGGCGGCTTAGGGGATCTGTGTGATCCTGCCGCCATGTGTCTCTTTTGGTGCGGCTTTGAAAAGCCGCACTTTGGCCGTACTCCCCCCCCCTCCGTGTGGCAGGGGCCTCAGAAGTGCTTCCTTGCTGATTGTTAAGACCTACATAGCAGCTTCTATTTCCCCAAGATTTGATCTTGGGAAACAGTTTTATAGAGTCTTTATCTGTCCTTCCTAGTTTTTCCCACAGCTGAAACGCAAATTAACTGTTTTGGTTCTAATTGGCTGTGGGGGGTTGTCAAGAGAGACATTGTTTGCCAGAAAATGGCTTCTCAATGCATATAGATTACTCATCTTTTTAGTTTTTCACCTCGGCATGTCTCCAGTTGAGCATGGAGTGACCCCATATTCTGTAGGATGGGTGACTAAAGAATGTCATTCTTGGATGCTTGAGGATGGTGAGTTTTAAAACCTTATTTAGGCAGATTTTAAGATCGCAACAGTAAGGTTTATTTGTTTTATGTCTATTGCATGTATTTATGTCTATTGCATGTATTTAAGTGATTTATGCTGTGCAACACTCCTTAAACTAATAAACTTTATATTTAAGCTGAGTCTTGAGGCATTGGCTTGAATGGGGGGTACACCTCAGAATGTACCCAGAGAGTAGAAAGCAGGCCCATAGCTATAGTGGGGCATTTTGGGGTTCCGCCACTAGGAGTTCAGGTGCAGTAAGCCCCTGCTTGGGAGGGGGGACATTTAAAGGGTTCCCTTTAAATTGTGTTTTTGAAGAAGGGGCTGCCTGCGCCTGAACTCCAAGTGGCGAAACTTGGAGTTCAGAGAAGTCGTGTGGCTGCCCCTCTCTCTCCCTGCCTGCAAGATTTAAAGGGCCCTCCTGCTGATTGGCAGGCCACATGCTCCACTTGGAGTTCAGGGAAGGCATGTGGCTGGCAGCCACCTCTCTCACTCACCTCTTGCAAATTTTCCCTTGTAAAGTAGCATCTCCTTTTTGGTCTTCCTCTTTTCCTAGGACTATTGTTTTTTCCCAGTAATTCTTTCTCCCTACCCAGTTATTTTAGTTTTGGAGTACACCTGAGTCTTGGCTTTCTGTTCAAGAGGAGAATCCTTGCACCAGAGCTGCAGCAGTAGCCAGGGAATAAACTTACAAACCTGCCACTGATTTAAGGTAAGCATGTCTACCAACCAAATCAGTGCTGTATGCAACAAGAAGCCTCTGAATTGAGTTTCACTTAGATTGACATTTCTTAAAACAAAAACTCACAGTCAAGTATTTGAATCCCAGGACTGAGATGATTCCAGCAGTGCTTCCGATCAACATAGCCCCATAGGGCTGGATTTCTAGATCCGCACAAGAACCCACGGCGACTCCTCCTGCTAAGGTAGCATTTTGAATGTGCACCTGGATGGAAATATTGACTGATGAGACTCAGAAGCATGGAGAGACAGCAATGTTCAAACAAGGGCTGCGGTCACACGGAGCATTAGCCACGCTACAGAGATGGAAGATAGGCGGATTTTCTGGGCGCGATCACACCGCAACATCTGGGAAGCGTCAAGCTCCCGTGGCGAACCTGAGGCTTCCCGCCGAAGATGCGGAGTTAAAAACTAGTACCTTCGAGGTACTAGTTTCCGGAAACCACGGGGCAAGGGCTGGCGTCTGATCGCATTTCCGGTGGTGGCATCCGGCACCCGCCCATGTCCCTTCACAAACAGGTTCCCCCTCCACCAAGTCTCCACAAGATGCGCACAAGCACCCAATGGCGCATGCGCACAAAGAGGAAAGCGAAAGTGCCGTTTCGGCTTAAAAAAACACTAAATAACCCCATTTGTCACAGCAGCGGCGCCTAGCCATTGCTGGTGTGATTGCGCTGTGCCGCTTCTTTGCCACGCTGCAGGATCGTCGTGTGATCGCCACCCTCGTTTACTCGCTGGTGCGGAGGGACGGACCCGTGGTGTGCCGCCAGCGCATCTGATCACGTAATCACGGATCAAACTGTGCCGGGGCAATTAGCCACGCCTCCCCTCCCCACGATATCTGGCCCATGTGACCGGGGCCAAGGTTCGGCAAATCCCATCTGATTTTTTAATCAAAATTTCCCAAAACTAGGGATGCTAGTCCCCTCGTGGGAATGAGGGATCACCCGATTTTTCAGGCTCCCCCACATTGCTGTCCAGCTGACTGGTGGGGGAAAGCCCCTCCCCCAACAGTCAGCCATGGCCCCACTCGAAAGGAGCTGGTGCAAGCAAATTCGTGGCTTGCGGGGCAGGTTCATATGGACCAAACTCTTTTCAAACCGGGGGCAGTCTGCTCCTGCCCTGCAAGCCACAAATTAGGCATGGTGCCCACTTTCCCCCCAACCATTTAAAGTGATGTCATCATGTTGGGGACAGCCCTGCTCCCTCCTGGGACACCCTCCAAATCCCCCCACCAGGGAGAAGATGGGACCTGGCAACCCTACCCCAAACTGAATTGTCTAGTTCAAATGTTTGATTTTTTTTTTAACACTGAATAAGTTTATATTTTATTTTTCATGTCTAGCAATTTACATATATAACATAACTGTCATGATCAGGGTTCGCCTTTGGGATGACACCGCCTTCCCCTGTTATGTCATGTTGCACGGGGGAAGCTCCTAAGCCTCAGAAAAGAGAGGGGAAGGGGTTTTGGTCCACCCCTTGTCCTCCTCATCTCAGCAAGACAAAACCCATTGGGGTAGCTAGCTCATCTTCCTCTACGGCCTGTTACAGGGAGTATCCTTTTTGTACCCCTCCCTTTCCTGCCCCTTTAACCCTCTCGCTTGATTTGATTTCTTCAATTTGGACCCCACCTTTCCCCTGCAAGGGGGCTCAGGGCGGGCCATGGCATTTCATTCAACAACATAATGACAGTAAAACATTAGGGTTTAAATAGAACAAACAAATTGAATGAAATTAACATTAAAATATAAAAATTCAAATCGAGTTTTGGTCCACTCAAATAGATGGCAACTAGTCAAGGCAGATTTGTAGTGCCTCCTGCAGTGATGCTCTGTTGGTCTCTGTGAGCAGGGCAAATGGTAAAGAATGCTGTAAGCACTGCAGCAGTGTGACCAGGGAAGTCCGAGATGGTTGACAACCACAGCCTCAACCAAAGGCCTGGCGGAACAGCTCCATTTTAGAGGCCCTGCGGAGTTGTAATAAATCTCGCGGGGCCCTGATTTCAAATGTTGACACAGAACCTGTTAACTTTCCAATAAAGGTTGACAGACAAGAATATCTCTGGGAGAAAGAAATCTCTGTTTTTACAGATGGAGCATGAATAGCACAAGGCAGTGCTGTTTCGCTCCCAATTTTATAGTCTGCCCCTCCCAACACCCACCATATGGAGACACTTGCCTTGAATTGGGTGGGTGTGGCATAGTGTTGCCAGGTCCCCCTAGTCTCTAGAGGGGGGTGGAGGGGTAGGGTTGCCAGCTTCAGGTTGGGAAGCTCCTGGAGTTTTGAGGACAAAGCTTGGGTCGGACATGGACCTCATAGTCCACCCTCCAAAGCAGCCGTTTTCTCCAGGGGGAACTCCAAAAACAACATCCATGATCAAAATAACGAAGGGTCGATAAAGATAAGTTGCAAAAACGTTTACTGACGTATTTCTGTAGTTCTGTAAGGAATATCCTTCTGTCATCACTCACACGCGAACAAATACTGCGCAATGTGAACATTCGTTTTGCAATGTATACTTTATCTGAGCGTGTAGCAATCCCATACTCGGATCGCTTATGTAACTGTGAGACTGGAGCTGTGGAAACACTTGGCCATCTTCTATTACTATGTCATCAGTGGTCGACTCCTAGATCGATTTGGCTCAATCCAGTTCTTACCAAACACCTATTACCTACTGAACTCTGGGTGGTCCCCTATCTTTTGGCAGATACTAATCCTGAAACCACTTATTTTGTTACTAAATTTTTAATGATAGTTTTATCTGTAAAGCGACAAAAATCTGGCTTGACCCAACTGTAAAATAATTTGGTATGCACCTAGTTATTATGATTTAAATGAATATTTAAACGAATTATAGTTTTATTAATGACTTCTGTTTTAACATTTTAGATCTTTTAGATTTGATTACTTCGGCTGTAAACTTTTATTGCAAAGTTCGTATTATGAGGCCAATGTTGTATATTCATCTTTTATCATTGAGCCTAAGACCTTTGGTCATAGAAGCTAATAAACATAAGTAAGTATACTTTATCTGAGTGTGTAGCAATCCCAATTCTTATCAAGTACTACTTATCAACTCTTGCTGGAAACATTCCATGTTGACTAATAAAAGGACCCAAGGTCTTCACAATGTTGTTTTTGGAGTTCCATCTCTTTCTGTGATCTCTCATTTTGGCTTCCACCGTTTTCTCCAGGGGAACAGATCTCTGTAGTCTGAAGATGAGCTGTAATTCCAGGGAATCCCCAAACTCCACCTGGAGGCTGGCATCCCTAATGTGACACGACAACAATATCCTGAACGTCTGACAAATTCTGTTCAGCCCCTGCATGAAGAACATGACTTGATTTTGATGGACAAACATAAATCTTCAGGCCGTTCCTACACCGAGCTACTCCGGTATAAATTCACTGATAGTGACGGGCTTAGCCCAGACTTACTCTGCCAAGGATGGAACCAGGAAGGACTTGCCAGACTTCTGGAGGATGCTTACCATGTCCAGTTTGCCCCTCTTTTCGAGCAGGCTCGAGAGGGCAAAAGCGGTGAGTGTGCACGCCGCCAAAGCGAAGTATGTGTTGATGATTGCTGTTTGCTGGGTTCCTGGTGCTGCGATTGCCGAATTAAAACTGGGCCAGAAAAGCCAAAGAAATAGGGTACCTGTATAAAGACCAAAAAGCACAGTTTATACACACACACAAACACCTTTTTTTAAGGACAGGGATTTTAGTGGTGGAAAGTGACATCAAGCCATAGCTGACTTGTGACAACCCCGTTTTCGAGACGTGAGAAGTTCAGAGGTGGTTTGCCATTGCCTGCCTCTGTGTAGCAACCCTGGGCTTTCCCAGTGGTCTTCCCATCCAAGTACTAATCAGTGCCAACTCTGCTTAGCTTCCAAGATCTGATGAGATCAGGCGAGCTTGAGCTACCCAGGGCAAGACAGAGTTTCAGAGGTAGTTTACCACTGCCTGCCTCTACATAGCAGTCCTGATTTCCTTGGTGGTCTCCCATCCAAGTATTAACCAGGGCCAACCCTGCTTAGCTTCCAAGATGCGATGAGATGAAGCTATCCTGAGCCATGCAGGTCAGGGCAGAGTTGCAGAGGTGGTTTGCCATTGCCTGCCTCTGCATGGCAACCCACTTCCTTGGTGGACTCCCATCCAAGTATTAACCAGGGCCAACCCTGCTTAGCTTCCAAGATGTGATGAGATCAGGCTATCCTGAGCCATCCAGGTCAGGGCAGAGTTGCAGAGGTGGTTTGCCATTGCCTGCCTCTGCATGGCAACCCACTTCCTTGGTGGTCTCCCATCCAAGTACTAACCAGGGCCAACCCTGCTTAGCTCCCAAGATGTGATGAGATCAGGCTATCCTGAGCCATCCAGGTCAGGGCAGAGTTGCAGAGGTGGGTTGCCATTGCCTGCCTCTGCATGGCAACCCACTTCCTTGGTGGTCTCCCATCCAAGTATTAACCAGGGCCAACCCTGCTTAACTTCCAAGATGTGATGAGATCAAGCTATCCTGAGCCATTCAGGTCAGGGCAGAGTTGCAGAGGTGGGTTGCCATTGCCTGCCTCTGCATGGCAACCCACTTCCTTGGTGGTCTACTATCCAAGTACTAACCAGGGTTGACTGCTTAGCATTTGAGATCTATTGATCAGGCAATCCTAGGCCATCCAGGTGAGGAAACAGGGATTTTAGAAGAATAAGGAGAGATTGGATTTATACCCCGCCCTTCACTACCCAAAGGAGTCTCAGAGTGGCTTACAAACTCCTTTCCCTTCCCCTCCCCACAACAGACACCCTGTGAGGTGGGTGGGGCTGAGAGAGCTCTTAACAGAAACTGCTGTTTTTCAAGAACAGGTCTTATCAGAACTATGGCTTGCCCAAGGTCATCCAGCCAGGGGCAAGTGGAGGAGTGGGGAAATCAAACCCGGTTCTCCCAGATTAGAGTCCGTGCACTTAACCACTACACCAAATTGTCTCTCGTTGCTCCTAAAGCTGAGCTGAACAGGGAAGGGGACATTCATTGGTTGTGATCACACGCAGAATTAGCCGCGCCATAGGCACGAATGCTGGGCGGATTTTAAGGGTGCAGTCAAATACCAACATCTGCCAAGAGTCCTGGTCCCATCGGCATCCCGTTTTGCTCTGCTGTAAAAGCGGAGTAAAAAGACACTGGGGAAAGTCCAGTAGCAAACGGGTTTGCTACGGGCCAGGAACAGACTTTCCCCTGTGTGACCAGCGCACTCTCATGGCATTGGGATGGTCTGATCAGGCCATCCCGACTCCATGCTGTTGTTTCCCCCCCCCCATTTTGGTATGCACATCATTGCACACTGCATAGGGAGCACTCGGTGCGGAGATGCGAAGCATCACTCCCTCGTTGAAATGCACCGGAAATACGCGGCCAAAGAAACCCACCCGCCTCACCCACGGTTGTGTCTGATCACACAGTGGTGGGCTGCCCCCACAGTTCCCAGGGACTGTGTGATCACGCAAATGCAGGTCAAATTCCTGCGGAGCAAATAGCCTCGCTCCCCCCCTCCGCAATATCTCACGCGTGCGAATTCTATGCCTCTACTTTTTCAAGGAAGGGTCAAAGAGCCACAAACATTGTTTTTAGTGAATTTCCAGAATTATGCAATCCACTTGTAAAATCCACCTCTTTATGGCTCAGCAAGGCGGCTGGGAAAATAACACGGACAATCCAGCTTCATTTCCCTGGACGTGTGCCATCTTCACATGATGTATTATGTAATCCCTGATAAGAATGTACACAGTCGGGTCATTTTCTTCTTTGCTCACTTGAATGCTTGTTTTGAACACTGAAAGCATCCTATAAACGCTGCCTATCCATTTGTATCTTGCCCTTTCTCCAGGGAGCTCAAAGTGACAATACAATGGATCCTCCCTCCTGCGTTGTATCATCACAATAATCCTGTGAGGTAGGCAAGGTTGAAGAGCGTAATTGGCCCGAGACCCCCCAATGAGGATCACGACTTTTTCATGGCTGCCTCTAACCCTTACACTATACTAGCTCTTTAATACCGACAGGAGTCATTGTTGTTGTAGTAGTAGTTATCCAAACCACTTCCTTGCTATTCCTGCACACCTTAGAGCAGAGGTGGCCAAACTGTGACTCGGAAGCCGCATGCAGCTCTTTTATACATATTGTGTGGCTCCTGGCAGGGCGCCTGGGGAAGCGAAGTATCATTAGCAAACAAATATCACTGGACAAATAAAAATCATCATCAATATCTGCTTTTACTGCTTTTGTTATTATTTTTTGCAGTCTCATCTAATGTTAATAAAAAGCAAATTTGCATATTTCCCAGTAAAGACGTTTGTAACATTTGTCCATGTCTTGTGGCTCTCAAACATCTGACGTTTATTCTGTGTGGCTCTTACGTTGAGCAAGTTTGGCCACCCCTGCCTTAGAGTCATACCACAAGACCACATCCCTTGGAATCTTCCACTTCATTTGCAAAGGGGAAGCTGAAATAACTGTTGTGACAAATATAAAAGCTGGGCGGGTAGTCGTAAAATTTTACAGGCCCCTTTAAACTTTAAAAGTGGACTCGCTTCTGTTTATCTTCAAGAGGTTATCAACACATGAAAGGATGACAAGCCAGAAACTGACTTACTGAGGGTTACTGAGGGCTCTCACACAGAAGCAGGGCTATTTTGGGGCAGGAACGCACAGGAATGGAGTTCCGGCTGGCTCCCAAGTTGGCCACACCCAGCAGGAACTCATTAGCATAATAGGCCACACCCAACAGCAGAAACTCATTAGGACTGGCGTGTGTGGCCTAACATGTAAAGTAGTCCCTGCTACAAAAAAAGGCCCTGGGTTTTGACAACAAACAAAGTAAACAGAATAAGAAGCAAAAGGTGGATGTGGCTGGATGGCCACACTTCTGGCAACAGGGGGCTGTGACCTATTATGCTAATGAGCTGTGGTGTCAGGGTGTGGCCTATTATGCTAATGAGTTCCTGCTGGGCTTTTTCTACAAAAAAGCCCTGCACAGAAGACATAAAAATCACGTTTCAGTAGATCCCCCCCCCCAAAAAAATGCTAACAGCAAGTGCATGATGCCTCGCTTTTCCTTGGGGCTGTGCGGGGAATGGAGAGGGAGTTTCGCCCTTCCACCTCCACTCAGTTTTGCCTTTGAAAAGTGTGATCTTCATCTAGGGTTGTCAACTTCCAGACAAGGCCTGGTGATCTCCCAGAATTACAACTGATCTCCATATGTCAGAGATGAGTTTCCCTGGAGGAAAGGACTGCTTTGGAGGTAGGGCTCTATGGCATTATATCCTGCTGAGAACCCACTCCTCACCAAACCTCCCTCCTCCCAGCCTCTACCCCACAAACCCCAGGAACTTCCCAATTCATGATTGGCAATCCTAACTGAGGTCCCCCCCAAAAAACCCTCCCATCTCTGGGCTCCACCTCCCAAACAATCTCCAGAAACTTCCCAACCTGTAACTGGCAATCCATCTCTTGTGTTCCAGCTCAGAGACACCATGTATTCCATTCTCATTTTTTTGTTTTGTTTAGGCCACCATAAAGTCAATGTTAGGCCTGTTGAGGTCAGGCCCGTAGCTACAGTGGGGCAGCTCGGGGCCTGGCCCCCCGACTTACTGCCATGCCCCCCAACTTCCCATCCAGCCCAGCCCCCGACTTCCAATTTCTTATTTTATTTGTGGTGTTCCCTTGGGGGGGTGCAGGGTGCCCCCCGACTTATTTAAAGCCCCCCCCCGAATTTAAAAATCCTGGCTACAGGCCTGGTTGAGGTGCCGTCAACAGCGGTTAAAGCCCACCCTTAAATCTCTTCCATAAGAATCAATGGGGCTTTAAAATGCTCAACTGACTGCATTGAGCCACAACAGTCGTCCAACAGAGGCCTAATTCTTTCCTCTGACATAATTCGTTCAAACCTTTGGCCATGCAGAAAAAGACATAGCATGGCTCAATATGACACTGCTTATGAGCCAGTTTGGTGTAGTGGTTAAATGCACAGAGCTAGTTTTGTGTGGTGGTTAAGTGCGCAGACTCTAATCTGGGAGAACCGGGTTTGATTCCCCCCTCCTCCACTTGCACCTGGCTGGATGACCTTGGGCAAGCCGTAGCTCTGATAAGAGCTGTTCTTGAAAAAGAGCAGTTTCTGTCAAGAGCTCTCTCAGCCCCGCCTACCTCAGTCACAGGGTGTCTGTTGTCGGGAGTTTGTAAGCCACTCTGAGACTCTTTTGGGTAGTGAAGGGCGGGGTATAAATCCAATCTCTTCTTCTTCTTCTCTTCTTATGAAAAGACCGCTTTTGTGGGCCATTCATATGGAAAGCCAGCGTGGTGTAGTGGTTAAAGTGCTGGACTCGGATCTGGGGAATCCAGGTTCAAATCCACACTCCCCCAATGGATGCTTACTGGGTGACCATGGGCCCGTCACACATTCTCAGCCTAACCTACCTCACAGGGTGGTTGTGAGGGAAAAAAGGAGGAGAGGACAGGAGGAGGAGGATGTCAGCTGCTTTGAGTCCCTGTCAGGGACAATGGCGGGATATAAATAAATAAATGAACAGAACAGAATCCAGGACCTCGAAATAGACCCGGAACAAACGTTTCACTTACCAATCATAGCAAATATGTCTGAGTAGTAGCTGGAACCTTCGTTTTCATGCCCGTCCTTCAGACCTGGGCGGTACAAGAGTCGGGATGCAGCCAGGCCAAAGTAGGCCCCGAAAGCATGGATGGTCATGGACGCTCCCGTGTCAGCTGCCTGCAACGGGAGACAATTCACGTCGTGAATGGGACAGTCAGTTGTGACCTTCTGTGTGGAGCACGCAAGGTGAAGGTTGCTAAGTTTATGACAATGGAGGAGCCAACTCAGCTCGGGACCAAAGAGCTCGCAGATCAGGAACAGCTAGATCAGATTGTACGGGTCTCTCTCAAGGGTAAAAAAGGTAAAAGTAAAGGTTTCCCTTGCTCGAAAACCAGTCATCTCCGTTTCCAACCCGAAGAGCCAGCGCTGTCCGAAGACGTTTCCGTGGTCATGTGGCCGGCATGACTAGATGCCGAGGGGCACGGAACGCTGTTACCTTCCCACCGAAGTGGTACCTTTTAATCTACTTGCAGTTTCTTGCTTTCGAACTGCTCGGTTGGCAGGAGCTGGAACCGGAGACGGGAGCTCACTCCGTCACGCGGCACACTCGGGTCTCGAACTGCTGAACTACTGACCTTCCACAGCCTGCAGTTCAGCGTCTTAACCACTTGAGCCACCGCAGCTCCCTCTCAAGGGTACCGTCTTCCAAAACCAGATGATGGCATAGCAGCATCTGTGTTGACTGTCTTTCCTTGGAGGACACCTACAGTTCCATGTTTCCCTGGCCCACAGCCACGCGTACAGCCTTTTTACAGAATATGTCGTGAAGACGTCTACCCTGTTGTGGTGGTGGAAAGGGCCCTCCGGTCACTGTTGACTTATGGCAACCCCGTAGGGTTTGGAAGGCAAGAGACCTTCAGAGGTGGTTGGCTATTGCCTACCTCTGAGTAGTGACCCTGGACGTCCTTGATGGTCTCCCTTACAAGTAGTGACCAGGGCCGACCCTGCCAAACTTCCAAGATCTGCTGAGATTGGGCTAGCCTGGGCCATTCAGGTCAGGGCAGAGATGAGCAGAGGTGGCTTGCCATTGCTTGTCTCTGGGTACGTTCAGATGGGGCGTTTCAGCCGGTTCCAACCGGTACAGTTTATGCCGGCTGAAACGCGATCACACTTACCTCCTGTCTGCGGAGCCCATCACTGTATGCCCGTTCACATGCAGCGGGCGTCGGTGGTTTTTTTTTAACAACCTCAGTTTGAGCATGCGCATAGGCAGCCATCCACAGAATGGCGACCTTTGCGCATGCGCAAAAAACCCATCTTACATTTAAACTTTAAAGGTAAAGACTTACCTTTAAAGTTTAAAGACCAAACTGGCCTCCCTGAAGTCCCGGACTCCTTCGAAACGTTAAACTAAGGACCTTTTCTCTTTTTTTTAAACAAACGCCAGGGCGAAGCTTCGCCCAAGCGCATATCGCCGACCTTTAAAAAAAAAAAAGTGGGTGAAAATCGGAAGCCTGAGGCTTCCGAACGGAAGTGGCTCTGCAACGGTGGAGAGCGATCAGACGGGGTTAAAGCGATTACAACCGTTGCACTCAGGATACCACCGCTTGGGGACCTAGTGGCAGAATACAACGGTGTAAAGCTCTTTGCAACCGTTAGGGACGGAAGGCAGATTTTTGCCGTGTGAACGCCGGTAAGTACACCGATTCCAACTGGCACCTATTCCATTGCTGTCTGAACGCTCTGTGTAACAAACCGGACTTCCCATGCTCTGTGTAACAAACCGGACTTTCTTGGTGGTCTCCCATCCAAGGACTAACCAGGGCTGACCCTGCTTAGCTTCCAAGATCTGAGAAGATTGGGCTAGCCTGGGCCATGCAGGACAGGACAAGAGAAGAGCAGAGGAGGTTTGCCATTGCCTGTCTCTGCACAGCAACCCCGGACGTCCTTGGTGGTCTCCCATCCACGTACTAACCGAGCCGACCCTGCTTAGCTTCCAAGATCTGACATGTTTGGCCTAGCCTGGGCCTCCCAGTTCAGTACTTCCACCTGTTACAGTCGGAGACGTTAACATGCAAGACTGAACGTTTAAGACGGCTTTTCCTATTGAATCTGTGAGTTCATAAAGGAGGTGTGTATTGTTATAGTCTGCTTAAGTGGGTTGTTCTTGTGATCTTTCTTTTTAACTGATGCGCTTTGTTCTAATTTTATTGAAAGCCGCCTTGGGGTACATGTAGGGGGAAAGTGGAGTACAACTACTACAAAGAAACCAATCCTAAGGGGAATAAATGAATGCATATGGAGCGGTGAGTCCGTGAGTCAGTTTGGTGTAGTGGTTAAGTGTGCGGAAGCCAATGGTGGATCAGGCCAAAGGCCCATCCAGTCCAATACTCTGTCACACAGTGGCCAGAAATATCAGGTGATATCAGAAGGTCCAGCAGTGGGGCCAGGACACTAGGAGCCCTCCAACTGTTGACCCCCCCCCAACACCAAGAATACAGAGCATCACTTGCCCCGGAGTCCCTATCTATACCTTGTGCCTAATAGCCACTGATGGACCTCTGCTCCATATGCTTATCTAATTCCCTCTTGAAGCCGTCCATGCTTGTAGCTGCCACCACCTCCTGTGGCAGTGAGTTCCATGTGTTAATCACTCTTTGGGTGAAGAAGGACTTCCTTTTATCTGTTCTAACCCGACCGCTCAGCAATTTCATGGAGTGCCCACGAGTTCTTGTATTGTGAGAAAGGGAGAAAAGTACCTCTTTCTCGACCTGCTGTATCCCATGCATAATCTTATAAACCTCAATCATGTCACCCCTCGGCCGTCGTTTCTCCAAGCTAAAGAGCCCCAAGCGCCTTAACCTTTCTTCATAGGGAAAGTGTTCCAGCCCTTTTATCATTCGAGTTGCCCTTTTCTGCACCATAGATATGATGCCATAGAGGCGAGCCCACCTTCCAAAGCAGCCATTTTCTCCAGGTGGACTGATCTCTGTCACCTGGACATTAGTTCTAATCCTAGAAGATCTCCGGGCACCATCTGGAGGTTGGCATTTTTGGGTGCAGAGCTTGATGCAATAGTCCCATCCTCCCCCAACATCGGAAAGGGCCTTGAAGATTTGGCCATTAACCACCCAATATAATTATTAATTTATATAGTGGATTTATTAATGAAGAGAAGAGATTGGATTTATACCCCGCCCTTCACTTGGAGTCTCAGAGCGGCTTACAAACTCCTTTCCCTCCCCCTCCCCACAACAGACACCCTGTGAGTTGGGTGGGGCTGAGAGAGCTCTGACACAAACTGCTCTTTTTCAAGGACAGCTGTGCCAGAGCTTGTGACTGACCCAAGGTCACATCAGCAGGTGCAAGTGGAGGAGTGGGGAATCAAACCCGGTTCTCCCAGATTAGAGTCCGCGCACTTCACCACTACACCAAACTGGCTCTCGATCCCTGGTATTGCAGGGCTCTGGGCGCTGTACAGTATCCATAAAACACAATCAGATAAAGTCGTTAAAACATTAAACACATATTCAAAGAGAAGAGATGGTGAATACTAATTAATCCGATGTCAGACTCCCAGCTACTTCATGGGCGGTGGGAGGTGGCCCAAACGAAGGTAAACAACAGGAGGAATGAGATGTGATATAATTATCTGTCCCGGTCTACACAAAGATTTTTGGCAGAAGCTCTGAACCGAATACCTATCATGGGAGAGCCTGATAAAATCCATTACTCTCTTGCTAATAGCAGCAAATTCCTGTCTTGCGTGGGTAGATCTCCGTGTGTTGGCAGCACAGATGGTGATGATGTGTTACAGAAATGTGGTGAAATGTTGCAGAAGTGATCTCAGGTCATGGGGGACTCTGGGCGGAAAGGAGGCATAGAAATGTTTTAAATAAATTCAGGTGGGTCACTGTGTTGGACGGAGGCAACAGAACATGCACACGGAAGCTTGTACCCAGGATCAAACTTTGTTGGTCCTAAAAGTGCCACTGGACTCCAACTTTGTTTGGCATGGAGAGCCAGTTTGGTGTAGTGCTTAAGTGCGCGGACTCTAATCTGGGAGAACCGGGTTTGATTCCCCCACTCCTCCACTTGCGCCTGGCTGGATGGCCTTGGGCAAGCCACAGTTCTGATAAGAGCTGTTCTTGAAAAAGAGCAGTTTCTGTCAAGAGCTCTCTCAGCCCCACCAACCTCACAGGGTGTCTGTTGTAGAGAAAGGGAAGGGAAAGTAGGGGTCATTTAGTAGAAAAAGAGGTGCAGGAGCTCATTAGCATAACTCATTAGCATAACTTATTTGCATAGGCCACACCCCCTGACATCACCGGAAGTGTGTCAGAAGTCAACACCCACTGCTCAGGCTCCACTAGACTGTTTTGGATTGCTAGCTGTGGGGGGACACACAGATCTGCCCTCATGGAGGAGGGAGAGCTTGTACCTGAATAAGCGTACGAAATGAGCCCGCTCACGGGGAGGGCGGGGTAAAAATATCAACGATAAATAAATAAATAAACCTTGGCCTTAAAGACGCCACTGTACTGTTTTGGATTGCTAGCTGGGGGGAGGGAACGCACAGATCTAGGAAGGAAGGAAGGAAGGAAGGAAGGAAGGAAGGAAGGAAGGAAGGAAGGAAGGCTCTGAGACTCCTTTGGGTAGTGAAGGGCGGGGCATAAATTCAATCTCCTCTTCTTCTAATCTGGGAGAACCGGGTTTGATTCCCCACTCCTCCACTTGCACCTGGCTGGAGGACCTTGGGCAAGCCACAGTTCTGTCCTTGAAAAAGAGCAGTTTCTAGGTTGGTAAGATTAAGCCTGGGGCGGCGGAGAGGTGACAAACAGAACTTTTTCTCCCTCTCCCCAAATATTAGAACTGGAGGGCATCCAGTGAAGCTGATGGGCAGGAGGTTCAGGACGGACCAAAGGAAATACTGCTTGACACAGAACTTCCCGCCAGTTAGGAAGCAGGAGACGGACCCGGCCGGGCTTCTGGGCAACTATTTAACCCCGCCGGCGTGCTGGTCATCATCATAAATGAAGAATTCAGTGGGTTTCATATTACATGGGACTAGGCTAAAATGGCAACACAGTCTCTCTGTCTCTCCTGTACATAGATTGTTGTACACCCACTACCTACAATATTGTCCATTGTTAGGAGGTTCTACCACTGTCTTGTGCCTCTGGCCCAGGCCCAGCCCCAGCCCCCCCCGGGAAATTGGAAAGTCTACGCCCCTGCAGGTAACATTTGGCAACCCTACTGAGACACCTTTCAGTAGTGAAGGGCGGGGTATAAATCCAATCTCTTCTTCTTCTTCTTCTCAATAAAGAAGAAGAGAACAAGGAGAGATTGGATTTATATCCCGCCCTTCACTACCCGAAGGAGTGTCAGAGCAGCTTACCATCTCCTTTCCCTTCCTCTCCCCACATCAGATACCCTGTGAGGGAGGTGGGGCTAAGGGAGCTCTTTCGAGAACCGCTCCTGAGAGAACAGGGAATGACCCAAGGTCACACCAGCTGCTGCATGTGGAAGAGTGGTGAATCAAACCCGGTTCTCTGGGGTTAGAGCCCATGCTCTTAACCACTGCACTACACAAGAGCACACAGGCCAGATCATCCGCTGATGGTTTCATGGTCTCTCCTTTAATGGTTCAAAGCAATCCGATCATTGGTGTTAGGTTTCCGTTGGTGTATTGTTCTGCTGGCTTGCAAGCCTGTCGTCTTGAGGGCAAAATGGATGGATGGATCTCAGGGCTAATAAACAAAGGGAGGCTCCAAGACTTAGAAACAGCATCTGTGCCCCTCTGCAAGGATGCTCAAGCAATTCACAGCCCATGCCCCTCGTGTGTGCTCCTATCAGAGGTCTAAATGGGGGAGGGCAGGGGAGTGATAAATGCCTGTTGGTTCCTTATGGAGCAAGGCCCTTCCAAAGGGTTGCCAACCTCCCGGTGTGGCCTTGAGATTTCCCAACTTTACACGTACAGAGATCAGTTCCACTGGAGAAAATGGCTGCTTTGGAGGGGTGGATTCTATGACATCCCCTGCTGAGTCCCCTCCCCTCCCCCAAACTCCACCTTGGCTTTCTTCTCCCCTGGCTGCCAGCTTGCCAATGCAAAAACACAATTACAAAAACACATAGAGGGGGACGGGGACAGAAGGCATTGTGACGTGTAGCTTTCGAGTGAGAACCAAGTCTCATGATTGAGGTTTATAAGATTATGCATGGGAAAGAGCAGGGAGAGAAAGAGGTACTTTTCTCCCTTTCTCACAATACAAGAACTCGTGGGCACTCCATGAAACTGCAGAGCGGTCGGGTTAGAACGGATAAAAGGAAGTATTTCTTCACCCAAAGAGTGATTCACACATGGAATTCACTGCCACAGGAAGTGGTGGTGGCTACAAGCATGGAAGGCTTCAAAAGGGAATTAGATAGGCATGTGGAGCAGAGGTCCATCAGTGGCTATTAGCCACAAGGTATAGATAGGGACTCTGGGGCAAGTGATGCTCTGTCTTCTTGGTGCTTGGGGGAGGGTCAACAGTGGGAGGGCTTCTAATGTCCTGGCCCCACTGGTGGACCTCCTGATGGCACCTGGTATTTCTGGCCACTGTGTGACACAGAGTGTTGGACTGGATGGGCCTTTGGCCTGATCCAACATTGGCATATCTTATGTTCTTATGTTCAAGTCGCTGCAAACTAGTAACCAGAAGGAAGGTGGGATTTTCCCAGTGGAGTAGTGGTTGCAGTATCAAGTGATTAGAGGAGGGGAAGGAGAGGAAAGGAAAGGAGGGAGTGAAGGATGACCGAGGCCAGTCTCAAGTTGAACTGTGGCGCCACTAGAAGACTTATGATGGCAACAGAAGGTTAGGAGGACAGAATAACAGATCAGAAAATCTGGCAAGAACCAAAGCTGTGTTCCTTGGGAGGAAAGCGATGGCAAACCTAAACAGCATAATAAAACGTAGAGATATCGCCCTGCCAAGAAAAGTCCGTAGGGTCAAAGCGATGGTATTCCCAGTAGTACTGTATGGCTGCGAGAGTTGGACCATAAGGAAGGCCGAGCGCCGAAGAATAGATGCTTTCGAACTATGGTGCTGGAGAAGACTCTTGAGAGTCCCTTGGAGTGCAAGGAGGTTGAACCGGTCAATCCTAAAGGCAGGGCTATTTTTGGGCAGGAACGCACAGGAACGGAGTTCCGGCTGGCTCCTGAGTTGACCACGCCCAGCAGGAACTCATTAGCATAATAGGCCACACCCAACAGCAGAAACTCATTTGGATTGGCTACATTAGGGGTGTGTGGCCTAACATGCAAAGGAGTTCCTGCTACAAAAAAAGGCCCTGGGTTTTGACAACAAACAAGATAAACAGAATAAGAAGCAAAAGGTGGGTGTGGCTGGATGACCACACTTCTGGTAACATGGGGGTGTGGCCTAATATGCTAATGGGCTGCTGTCAGGAGTGTGGCCTAATATGCTAATGAGTTTCTGCTGTTGGGTGTCGCCTATTATGCTAATGAGTTCCTGCTGGGCTTTTTCTACAAAAGAAGCCCTGCCTAAAGGAAATCAACCCTGACTGTTCCCTGGAAGGCCATATGCTGAAGCTGAAGCTCAAATGCTTTGGCCCCCAAATGAGACGGGAGGCCTTACTGGAGAAGACCCTGATGCTGGGAAAGACTGAAGGTAACCGAAGAAGGGGACAGCAAAGGATGAGATGGCCAGACAGTGTTATCGATGCGAGGAACATGAAGTTGAGCAGACTCCAGAGGATGATGGAAGACAGGAGGGCCTGGCGTGGTGTGGTCCATGGGGTTGCGAAGAGTCGGACTGGACTGTACGGCTGAACAACAAGAACAACAAAGCTGTGCATTCCCTGATCCGGATGGCCCAGGCTAGCTTGATCTCACCAGATCTTGAAAGCTAAGCAGGGTCGGCCCTGGTCAGAATTTGAATGGGAGACGGCAAAGAAGCCCAGGGTCACTATGAAGAGGTGGGCAACGGCAAACCACCTCTGTTCATCCCTTGCCTAGAAAACCCTACAGAGTTCCCATAAGTCGGCTGTGACTTGAAAGCGATTCCCACCACTACAAACTAAGTATACACACCATGAAAAACAATGAAAATGGCAATCGATATAAACAAGTGAACTCCATATATATCGACCATCAAGTGTCCTTGCTGTGATTTGAAACTGGAAGTGACGGTGGTCGTCAGCTGACTTATCTTCCATTCGGCGCTTCCACAAGGCTCACAAGCACGACTCCGACAGGCCAGCTATAATGCCTGTTTCACAGGGGCTTCTTTGTGGGAAATGGTGCTAATGAATAAAACATCTGAGAGCCAAAAGCATCATTAAACATCGTATATGGAGTTCATTCTGTTGAATGAATGAATGAATGTGACTGTATCAGCAGTTTATAAAGTAAAGGCAAAGGTTTCCCTTGCTTGAAAGCCAGTCGAATCTGACTCTAGGGTTGCGGTGCTCATCTCCGTTTCCAAGCCGAAGAGCCAGCGCTGTCTGAAGATGTTTCCGTGGTCATGTGGCCGGCATGACTAGATGCCAAGGCGCACAGAACGCTGTTACCTTCCCACCGAAGCGGTACCTATTTATCTACTTGCAATTTCTTGCTTTTGAACTGCTAGGCTGGCAGGAGCTGGGGCCAGAGACGGGAGCTCACTCCGTCACGCGGCACTCAGGTCTCGAACTGCCGAACTGCACACCTTCCAGTCTGTAGCTCAGCGTCTTAACCTCCGAGCCACCGCGGCCCGTATCAGAAGTTTATAAGGGGCACTAAAAGACTGTTGAATTTTTGATACCTAGAAACTGAGATATCTGTTGCATGACATACATTTAGTTGTTTATGTACATTGCAATTTTCGTTATCTTTCACGGTGTGTATACTTAGTTTGACACCCTATCCTGTGGTCTCTCTACTTTTGTAACCTCCGGGTGGTGGCTGGGGATCTCCTGGGATTACAACTGATCTCCAGGATCCACCCCCCAAATCTCCAGATATTTCCCAACCCAGAGCTGGCAAGCCTGCCACCAAGGCTGCGCATCTCCCTTCGAGAGAGAAACAGTGCCATGCCAAAGCCAATTTAATCTGCAAGGGCAAGGCAGACCGAGAAGGGGAAAGTTAAAACAGGAAGCACTGAGGCCAACTAGGGCCATAAAGGCGGCGTATATTTTTCCCTTGTAAAGTATCATCTTGGCCTGGGTAAAGGTGACGCTTTTGCTTCCTGGACGTTAAACAGGACCGAAAATTCCTTACCCCGAATACGTCCACGACGAGGTGTTCGTTGCACGAAAAGATGGTGATTTCGAAAATGGTCATGATCAGCATCTGGAGAGGGCTCGTTTTCCCCAAGACAGCCCCGAAAGAAATCAGGACTGTTGCCGTGCTGAAGTCTGCATTGATAATACTTCCGGTTCGAAGTGGCAGGAGGGGAGGAAAAAAACCAAAGATCAAAATCCAGTTTTCGTGTATGTCCCAGGTATAAGGTTGCTGCTTCTGGGTTCTGAAATACCTGGAGATTTGTGGGTGGAGCCTGGGAGGGTGGGGTTTAGGGAAGGGAGGGATTGCGGTAGGGTAGAATGCCATAGGGTCCACCTCCATAGAATCATAGAGTTGGAAGGGTCTTCCGGGGTCATCTAGTCCAACCCCCAGCACAAGACAAGAAATCCAAAATACCTCACCCTCCACACCCGCAGTGACCCCTGCTCCACGCCCAGAAGATGACGAAAAACCTCCAGGATCCCCGGGCAAACTGGCCTGGAGAACAATTGCTTCCTGGCCCCCAAAGTGGCAATCAGCATTTCCCTGGGCGTGTAAGAAAGGGCCACGAGGACTAAGCACTGATGCAGCCCTTCCCTACCCTCCCTTCTCGTGATCTGCCTGAGTCCACAGAATCAGCGTTGCTGTCAGATGGCCATCTAGCCTCTGCTTGAAAACCTCCAAAGAAGGAGAGCCCACCAATGTTCCGTCTAAGCTATGCAGTCTTGTGAGCAAAAATTCTACTTTGTGAGCTACTGGCATTGAAGTTGTGAGCGAGCAATATGGGTAGTGCATAAATTAGTTGGCTCTGGAGCCCTCCTTCCTGAGCTAAGACAAAAAACTGTGAGCCAGAGGCTAAAAAACTGTGAGCTAGCTCACACTAACTCAGCTTAGAGGGAACAATGGAGCCCACCACCTCCCAAGGAAGCCTGTTCCACTGGGGAACCACTCTGACTGTCAGGACGTTCTTCCTCATGTTGACCTGTAAAACCCTTCTGATTTAATTTCAACCCGTTGGTTCTTCGAGAGCAGCCATTCTCTCCAGGAGAAGTGGAACAAATGTTTTAAATAAATAATAAGCCATTTATGTAGTCCGGGGATCAGTTGCCATTCCAGGGGATCTCCAGCCCCCACCTGGAGATCGACTACCCTACCTGGGTCCCCCCCCCCCCGGAATTATAGCTCATTTCCACACTGCAAAGATCATTTCCCCTGGAGAAAATGGGTGCTTTGAAGGGTGGACTACCCCACTGAGGTCCCTATTTTCTCCAGCCTCCTCCCCCAAATCTCCAGGAGTTTCCCAAACTGGATCTGGCAACACTACCCCCCCCATCCTCTGCTGGTGGCCAGGAGACCTGGCAACCCTCAACAGGGGGCTTCTGGGGGCTGATCCTGCACCACTTGACGTGACGAGTGTTTGTCACAAGGGCTACTCTTACCCAGGTCTGTAACCAGGATTTTGTGGCGTGTGGGGCAAATTTACCACCCCCAGGTGGGGCTGAAGTTCTCAGGGCAGAAAGAAAAGCCATTGAGCCAACAGAAAGCTGTTCCCAGGATAGATCTCTGGACTGCAAGCTGCCAGCCACTTTGGATGACAATTCTCAGCTGCTGCAAGTTAATCACTTCCGCCAGCCTAAGCAACAGTTCTGGTAACAAGCCAGCAGGTGGGAATGATGACCTCTATAGTCAAGAAAGCTAACACTTAGGCAGAAAAACTCCCTTAAAGGAGGCCGGTTTCATGACACTGAGTTAGAAAGGATCCTAGAGGTCACCTACTCCAACCCCCAGCTCAATGTGTGAATTAGTCACCTACAGCACCCCACTCTGCTTAAAAGAGCCCACCCTTTTTAAAAAAATGTTTAAAATGATTGAAAAAAGCATTTACAGGAGAAATTCTTGTGGGGCTCTGCCTGTAAGAAAGGGGGTGGAGCCCCCAAAGCCCCCCATAGCTACGGTCGTGCTCTTACCTTTTAATGCCAAGATGGATTGTGTTTGCTCTCATATGCCAAAATCCCTGCATTAGGGCGCCCCACTGGAGACCCAAGGCCGCGATGAGCATGTTGATACCAACACTGCTGAAGCCATATTTCTTCAGGAAGGTCATCAAGAACCCAAAGCCGATGAATATCATCACGTGAACATCCTGGAAGACTGTGGGCAGAAAAGTCAGACATCACCTTGAGCTTACGACTCGAAGAAGCTGTTAGAACGGATAAAAGGAAGTACTTCTTCACCCAAAGAGTGATTAACACATGGAATTCACTGCCACAGGAAGTGGTGGCGGCTACAAGCATGGACGGCTTCAAAAGGGAATTAGATAAGCATATGGAGCAGGGGTCCATCAGTAGCTATTAGCCACAAGGTATAGATAGGGGCTCTGTCTTCTTGGTGCTTGGGGGGGGGGTCAACAGTGGGAGGGCTTCTAATGTCCTGGCCCACTGGTGGACCTCCTGATGGCACTGGTATTTCTGGCCACTGTGTGACACAGAATGTTGGACTGGATGGGCCTTTGGCCTGATCCAACATTGGCGTCTCTTATGTTCTTATGTTCTCATGATCCACCTGCTGCCCGCAATCTCCCATGAAGGACCCCAGTGCTTTTTCACAGAACAAATCCTAAAGAGAGATGACCAACCACTTCTGTAATGAACTGTCTATTGTAAAACACAGAAGAACAACTGCATGATCAGGACAGTGAAATAGGTCTCTTTTGGGGCAGACACTGGAATATAACCTATAAAAGGCACCTTTAAAATATATCATTTGCGGGTGTCTTGAAAATCCTAGCTATGCCCCAAAGACCTCTGGTGAAAGGGTGGAGGTTACCCTCCTGCTGTAGGGTTTTTCCGTACAGCACCCAGTATCGGAGGCAACCCTGTCCAGCTTTCTTTTCCAGGTATTGAAGAAGACACAAGAAGAATATAATAGAATATGATATAGAGGAAGTTGTATGGTGGTATTATAAGCGGGTAATATAAGGAAATAAGAAAAAGATGAGGGTATAAAGATTGGGATTAAGTTATAAACAGGCGATATGTCACCTCAATGGTTGTTTTTTGTTTGTTTGTTTAGTTTCAAAAGGAGTATAATATATTTGGAAAGAAATATCTGTATGAAATTGTAATATATACTCAATAAAAAAAGAATTAAAAAAAAAAGAAAATCCTAGCTACTTGTTACATTAAACAAGCAAACGGGACAAAACGCGACAGCCGGATCCTGTCCTATCTATGGCTGTTGTCTTAGGTCCTCCTTACACATTACACAATAGCCACATGTTTTCCATCAGCTCCTGTGTCTTCTTTGGTGGAGAGAACAGAGGAGTCACATTACACTCATACCGTGGCTGTCAAAAGCAGGGAGGTTATCTTTCCTATTTTTTCCCCCCCACACTGATAAGGAAACTGCTTGCCAAGCCACAGCCAAAAGACAAATACACTGAAATACCTCAGGCAAGATGGGTTTTTAGCAGCGAATGTAGGGACATAGAGAGATACAGAGATCACATACAGATACATTTAAAAAAAAATGATGTTTTTTTTAATGGAAGATGATATTTTGAGACCAATACATAAGATCTTTGGCAGACAAGTAAGGTCACAGTCCTGGATAGCCCAGGCAAGCCCAATCTTGTCCGATGTTGGAAGCTAAGCAGATCTTTTAGATGATAAAGGACTTTTAAAAACAAAGGAAGAATTAAGAAGGCAAGGGGTCAGTCTGGATTGGTGAACAAGGGTCCGAATAGAATCCAGATATGCTAAAGATCGAAAAGTTGGTTTCTATGCTGAACAAAGTGCATTTGAGAAGTTGTTATGTACATCCAATCAGGGCTTTTTTTGTAGAAAAAGCCCAGCAGGAACTCATTAGCATAATAGGCCACACCCAACAGCAGGAACTCATTAGCATATTAGGCCACACCCTGACAGCACAGCTCATTTGCATATTAGGCCACACCCCATGTTACCAGAAGTGTGGTCATCCAGCCACACCCACCTATTGCTTCTTATTCTCTTTACCTTGTTTGTTGTCAAAACCCAGGGCTTTTTGCATGTTAGGCCACACACCCCTAATTGTAGCCAATCCGAATGAGTTTCTGCTGTTGGGTGTGGCCTATTATGCTAATGAGTTCCTGCTGGGCGTGGCCAACTCGGGAGCCAGCCGGAACTCCGTTCCTGTGCGTTCCTGCCCAAAAATAGCCCTGCATCCAATGATTAGTTGATCAAGAAAACGGATGTATTAATGCAAATGAAAATGGAAGAGGAAATGGTTAAAGATTGTATGGTGAAATGGATGCAAAATCTAGGCTATAATATTGATAGTGGAGTAAACTATGGAGAGTGAATGTGAAAATAACTCAATCAGTGGCATTTAAAAAGAATCCGTATAAGATGTTTTATAGAGGGTACCTAACCGGTGCTTAAATACTTATGCTGAATGTTTTAATATGGGATTTTGTAGTTTTAACTGGTTTTAAAATGGTATCGGATTTTGTGTTGTTGTAAACCGCCCTGAGTATTTGGATGGGAGACCTCCAAAGAATACCAGGGTCAGGAGGCAGAGACAGGCTACCAAGCCCCCTGTCTGAACATCCTCCATGCCCCAGCAGGAGTCGCCAGAGGTCGCCATGACTTCCAGGCACGGGTGTCTGTACGGGCATGTACACGACAGCTTATACCCAGAATTCTTTGTTCTAATGGTTTTGTTCTGTCTCACTCCTCTGTTCCAGTTTGGTGCAGTGGTTAGGAGCGCAGACTCCAATCTGGGAGAACCGGGTTTCGTTCCCCACTCCTCCACATGCAGCTGCTGGTGTGACCTTGGGTCAGTCACAAGTTCTCTCGGAGATGTTCTCTCAAGAGCAGTTTCTGTCAGAGCTCTCTCAGCCCCCACCTGCCTCACAGGGCGTCTGTTGTGGGGAGGGGAAGGGAAAGGAGATTGTAAACCGCTCTGAGACTCCAAGTGAAGGGTGGGGTATGAATCCAATCTCCTCCTCTTCCTCCTCCTCTTCCTCCTCCTCTTCCTCCTCCTCTTCCTCCTCCTCCTCCTCTTCCTCTTCCTCTTCCTTTTCCTCTTCCTCTTCTTCTTCTTCCAGTGTATTTTTTTTTTTAAATTGTCCCTGTGTCAGAATTCCAAAGGTTGGCCTTCGCATTCCAAAAGACTGGGGACCCCTGGTCTAGCAGGAAAAGGAAGAACGTCTTCCACTGGAGGAAGGCTTAGAGGGGCAGAGGAACCTTTCATATTTAGCAGAGCAAAATGGTAGGAAACTGTCCATTGCTTCTTACGGGACAGGGAACCAGCCGTGCCGTTATTTTAAATGAATGCAGCAGTGGCACTGTCTCTGAGTTCCTGTACAACGAGCGCAGGCTCTGGGTGAAGATTCTATTCATGCTGCAGTCTAATTGCTGCCGTTCAAATTAGCGCAAGGGAGGATTGGCCTTCTGCCGATCGTCAGCTGTTTCCCACACAAAACCTCAACCAAGAACTAGATTTGCATTTTTCCTTACAGGATTCTTTTTAGAAGACTTACAACTAGGGTTGTCAACCTCCAGATGGTGCCTGGAGATCTCCTGGAATTATAAGTGATCTCCAGGTGACAGGTCAGTTCACACAGAGAAAATGGCCTCTTTGGAGGGTAGACTCCAGGGCTATTTTGGGGGCAGAAACGCACAGGAACGAAGTTCCGGCTGGCTTCAGAGTTGGCCACGCCCACTACAGCCAAAACCTCTGAATGCGTGGCTCCATAGGGAAGGGGTGCCCAGGCAAGCCAAGGTTGTTTAAACTGCCTTCCCTTCCCTCCACGGGCCGTCTTGCCCGGGGTCCCCGCCGCCACGGGGTGCCCGGGCAAGCCAAGGGAAGGCATGGAGGTGTGGCCTAATATGCTAATGAGCTGCACTGTCAGGAGTGTGGTCTAATATGCTAATGAGTTTCTGCTGTTGAGTGTGGCCTCTTATGCTAATGAGTTCCTGCTGGGTTTTTTCCTACAAAAAAGCCCTGGTAGACTCTATGGGCATTCCCCTCCTCAAATCCCGCCCTCCTCCGGTTCCACCTCCCCAAATCTTCAGGAATTTCCCAAGCCAAAGTTGGCCAACCCTAAGTATTGGAGAAGAAACGAGGTACCTTCCAGAGAAGAAGTTTTTAATAAAATGCCTGAGACTGCCGAGATGGATAAACTAGCTTTAATCCTGAAAGGACAAATAGAACGGATTTTAGGATAGCCAGTTTGTTTGGTCGATTAATTATGATGACTTTTATGATGGATTTTAATGGTATTTTATGCATTCTGTAAGCCGCCCGGAGCCTGCCGTGGTGGGAAGGGCGGAGTATAAATTGAATAAAATAAATAAATGTAGTCAGTGTGCATAAGAAAAGAGGTGAAAGAAAGGGCTTCCCTGGGGAGTGTTGGGGGGGATTTCTGTTTTAGATTATTGGCAACAACAACAACAAAAAGACACAGAGAACATGCAGGTTCTTAAAAACTAACATTCACAGGCCAGATCTAAAGTGCTAGGTTAGATAAACCCTAGGGTTGCCAGCTTCCAGGTGGGGCCTGGAGATCTCCTAGAATTTCCTAGAATTACAACTGATCTCCAGACGATGGAGATGGGTTCCCCTGGAGCTACAGTTGCCAACTCCTGCTTGGGAACTGCCTGGCAATTTTGGGAGTGGAGCTGGGGGGGGGTGGAGGGAGAGACGGACCTTAGTGGGGTATAATGCCATGACGTTTCTCCAAGGGACCTGATCCTTGTAGCCTGGAGGTCACTTGTAATTCCTGGGGATCTCCAGGCCCCATCTGGAGGTTGGCAGCTTTAGAGAACATAAGAACATAAGAGACGCCAATGTTGGATCAGGCCAAAGGCCCATCCAGTCCAACACTCTGTATCACACAGTGGCCAGGAATACCAGTGCCATCAGGAGGTCCACCAGTGGGGCCAGGACATTAGAAGCCCTCCCACTGTTGACCCCCCCCCCAAGCACCAAGAAGACAGAGCATCACTTGCCCCAGAGTCCCTAGCTATACCTTGTGGCTAATAGCCACTGATGGACCTCTGCTCCATATGCTTATCTAATTCCCTTTTGAAGCCGTCCATGCTTGTAGCCGCCACCACTTCCTGTGGCAGTGAATTCCAAGTGTTAATCACTCTTTGGGTGAAGAAGTACTTCCTTTTATCCATCCTAACCCGACCGCTCAGCAATTTCATGGAGTGCCCATGAGTTCTTGTATTGTGAGAAAGGGAGAAAAGTACCTCTTTCTCAACCTGCTCTTTCCCGTGCATAATCTTATAAACCTCAATCATGTCACCCCTCAGTCGCCGTTTCTCCACGCTAAAGAGCCCCAAGCACGTTAACCTTTTCTCATAGGGTGGGCTCCACGGTATTGTACCCCGCTGAGATCCCTCCCTCCCCAAGCCAACCCTAAAGCCCTGTTTAATTGCTTCCCATAGGATGGATGATGGGCTAAAGTCGCAAAAACGCTTGGAGGCTGATGCTTATTCAGAGTGGAGGCTGCTGACTGTGCAGTTTCCATGGGGGGGGGGAGGCGGACTGAACCTCATGCCACCAAGTTATAAATGCGCTCATTGTTCCTTCTTGTCTCTTCAATTTCATTCTGGCAGATAAAACCTCCTGGGAACAGCCAGGAAGGGACCACGGGCGTTCAAAGCAACATATGAGAATCCTCTGCCTTGCCTCTCTGACGTCTGACCCGTGCCGTGCTACGCTTAAGGGTGCCAACCTCCAGGTGGAGCCTGGAGACCCCCCGGAATTCCAACTGGTTTCCAGACAATTTTGAGATCAGTTCCCCTGGAGAAAACAGTCACTTTGGAGCGCAGTCTCTATGGCATCAGACTCCACTGAGGTCCCTCCCCAAACCCCACCTCCAATATCTCCAGGAATTTCCAAACCGAAACCAGAGATGGCCAAGTCTAGCTACAATTTGGAACACATACTTTGGCAAACGGTATGGAAACCGGAAAACAAAGTCTGAGTCCATAGAAGCAGTAATAAAACTTCGTGCCATCCTCCAGGCGGGGGCTGGAGTTCTCCTGGAATCCCAAGTGAGCTCCAGGCCTTAGAGATCAGCTCCCCTGGAGAAAATAGCCGTTTCAGAGGGCAGACTCCATGGTATACCATAGAGTCTTGGAGAAACAGAAGTTCCCCCCTCCCCCCCCCAAGATAGTACCCCAAACCTCCAGGAATTTCTAAAGCCAGGAGAAAATAGCCGTTTCAGAGGGCAGACTCCATGGTATACCATAGAGTCTCGGAGAAACAGAAGTCCCCCCCTCACCCCCCCAAGATAGTACCCCAAACCTCCAGGAATTTCTAAAGCCAGGAGAAAATAGCCGTTTCAGAGGGCAGACTCCATGGTATACCATAGAGTCTCAGAGAAACAGAAGTCCCCCCTCCCCCCCCCAAGATGGTACCCCAAACCTCCAGGAATTTCTAAAGCCAGGAGAAAATAGCCGTTTCAGAGGGCAGACTCCATGGTATACCATAGAGTCTCGGAGAAACAGAAGTCCCCCCCTCACCCCCCCAAGATAGTACCCCAAACCTCCAGGAATTTCTAAAGCCAGAGTTGGCGTCCATACTTCTAACAGTTTCTTCTGACAAATTCATTTCACACGCCCAGATCTTCCCAACATAATGCAGACCAACACTGAACTTCCCCCCCCCCATGTATCTGAAGAAGTGTGCACCCACACGGAAGTTTATACCCAGGATTAAACTTTGTTGGTCTTAAAGGTAGGGACGTCAGCCTCCAGGTGGGACCTGGGGATCCCCCGGAATCACAGTTCGTCGCCAGACTACAGAGATCGGTTCCCCTGGAGAAAACGGATGCTTTGGAGGGTGGACTCTGTGGCATGGTGCCCCACTGAGGTCCCTGTCCTCCCCAGGCTCCATCCCCAAATCTCCAGGAGTCTCCCAGCCTGGATCTGGCAACCCAACTCCCTCATCTCCCACCGGTGGCCAGAGGGAACCTGGAAACCCTCCAAGGTGCCACTGGACTCAAAAACAGTCATACACTGCCAGCTTACAAAGCACAAAATACACGTCGAGAGAGAGAGAGGGAGACAGACGGTACAATCTCCAGATGAACCAGCAACTGTACACAGTTCCAACAGAAACCTGTCGTCTTTTTAACCCACCAGGAAGAACACTCACATGGGTATAAGTGCTGATCAGCCACCCGGCTCGTTTCCTCCGGAGTGTATCTGACAAACACCCCGAATAAAACCACAATGACAATTTCCAAAAAGACAGCCGCCGCAGGCAACTTGATCCGCATGTTGGTAGAGGAGGCAGTGTTCATATTGGGCTTCTTTGACACAGGCTGGCACGGAGTGATAATCGGAGGCCGGCTTGCTCTCGGCCTTCATCTGGGGTTGCGCTCAGATGATTATAATGACATGGCAAAAATCCATCCTTTCCCGAGTGTTTAACTCACTGGAGGAGGAGCCTAACTTTACAAATGGGTTCCTTTTTGGATACGTTTCCATCTTTGGATACATGAAGGGATTAAACTCGGTGATTCAGCTTCTCCCGGTTTTATAGCACTGCTGACTACTTGTCCCCACCCCAACACCTTATAAAATAAGGCAACAGTTTCAGCCTTTATGGAATGCAAAAAAGCAGCAATTAAAATAGGTTATATTCTATAGTGCATGGCTCCAGCAGACCCTGCGCAGGAGTTAAGCATAGCATTATACCCCCAGCCGTCTGCTTTCAACAGAGATCACGAAACCGAAAACCTTTTGTCTAGTAAGAAGCAGTGCAAACAGCATCTAAACCCAGGAGGCCGTTTTAGTATTTCAGCCTGACAGAATATGACCCCAAGAATAAAAATGGACTTGGGGTCAGTGTTCCCTCTAAGCTGAGTTAGTGTGAGCTAGCTCACAGTTTTTTAGCCTGCAGCTCACAGATTTTTGTCTGAGCTCAAGAACGATGGCTCCAGAGCAAATTGATTTATGCAGGAGCCAAATCGCTTGCTCACGACTTTAAGGTCAGGAGCTCACAAAGTGGAATGTTTGCTCATAAGACTCCATGGCTTAGAGGGAACATCGCTTGCTCACGACTTTAAGGTCAGGAGCTCACAAAGTGGAATGTTTGCTCACGAGACTCCACAGCTTAGAGGGAACATCGCTTGCTCACAACTTTAAGGTCAGGAGCTCACAAAGTGGAATTTTTGCTCACAAGACTCCACGGCTTAGAGGGAACATCGCTTGCTCACAACTTTAAGGTCAGGAGCTCACAAAGTGGAATTTTTGCTCACAAGACTCCACGGCTTAGCAGGAACATTGCTTGCTCACAACTTTAAGGTCAGGAGCTCACAAAGTGGAATTTTTGCTCACAAGACTCCACGGCTTAGAGGGAACATCGCTTGCTCACAACTTTAAGGTCAGGAGCTCACAAAGTGGAATTTTTGCTCACAAGACTCCACGGCTTAGAGGGAACATCGCTTGCTCACAACTTTAAGGTCAGTAGGGAAATAGGTATACATTCTATAAAATGTGCCTTATGTAAATTGGGATTTATATGAAGGGAAACCATTCTCCTGCTATTTGGAAGTCATTTCCATAGTGATAGATCAAGATGGGCAGCCGTATTAAGACTAATAATACGTCTGCTGCAGCAGAAAAGAGCAAGAGTCCAGGAGCATTAGCTGTTGTAGATTTTCCGGGCTGTATGGCCATGGTCTTGGCATTGTAGGACCTGACGTTTCGCCAGTAGCTGTGACTGGCATCCTCAGAGGTATAACACAGAAAGATGGAGTGCTCCATACAACCTAACCATACAACCCGGAAAATCTACAACAGCTAATGCACTCCGGCCGTGAACGCCTTCAACAGCATATAGTCCAGGTGCAACTTGAAGATGAACAAAATATGTGGCAGGGGAGGAGCTTTCGGGAGCCACTGCCCAGTTCCTCAGATATAGCTAGAATGTGATAGATCAAGATGGGTGGCTACCAATGTTCCCTCTAAGCTGTGGAATCTTGTGAGCAGAAATCCTACTTTGTGAGCTACTGGCATTAAAGCTGTGAGCGAGCGATGTGGCTGCTGCATAAATTAGTTTGCTCTGGAGCCATCCTTCCTGAGCTAAGACAAAAATCTGTGAGCTGGAGGCTAAAAAACTGTGAGGTAGCTCACACTAACTCAGCTTAGAGGGAACACTGGACTGGCTACATTAGTCTGTCTGTAGCAGTAGAAAAGAGCCAGAGTCCAGCGGCACCTTAAAGACTAACAAAATTTGTGGCAGGGGAGGAGCTTTCGTGAGTCACCGCCCACTTCTTCAGATCAGGCTTCCCAAGTACTTACTGTGATTTGGCGGGGGACACATACGTCTTCCCAGGACCATTCCCGCGGGGACAACAGACGCGCCGCACCCTGCCGTCGCCAGGAAGTGACGCTGGGTGACGCTCTGACAATGGGGCTGGAAACTCGATGGTAGCCCCATTGCCAGAGCGTCGCCCGGCATCACTTCCTGGCGAAGGCATGGTGCATTACAGGGTGGAATGTTCCGGCCGGGGAGCACGTGTCCCCCTCCGGATCACAGTAAGTACTTGGGAACCCTACTTCAGAGACAGCTAGACTGTGATAGATCAAGATGGGTCACCATGTTGGTCTGTCTGTAGCTGGAGAAAAGAACAAGAGTCCAGGAGCACCTTAAACACTAACAAAATAAGTGGCAGGGTGTGAGCTTTCGTGAGACAATGCTCCCTTCTTCGGATACTGCTAGAACGGGCTATATTAAAGCCCATTCTGGCTGAATCTGAAGACACGCACAGTGACTGGCGAAAGTTCATACCCTGCCACATATTTCCATAGTGGGTTTTTTTCATGATAATAGATTGGATCCTAAGTGGCCAGTCTCCAGGTTATGGCTGGAGAACTCCTGGAGTTACCACTAGTCTTCAGGGTGTGAGGCAAAGCACCCTAATTTCCCTCAAGGGTTAATGGGATTATTAGAGGACCTAGTCCGGCTCGCTGGTATTTGTGTTTTGGGCTTTCCTGCAGACACCATCCTTATCTCTTTCAAGGCTGGACTCAAGAATGTGGCAATGGGTTAATAGTGAGAACCTGCGCTCAGCTGTATAACTAGATGGGAGGGGGGAATTAGGACCAGATGTTGACATCTTCTGGAAAGTTCCATCAAGAGAGGTTCCTGATTGGATCCAAGAGACCTCCTGGTACCAGAGGGCAAAAGGCTATAATAAAGGTATAGGCCAGACTGGGAAGCCATGCTAACTTTACGCTCATGCCATGCTAGTATGCTTTAATATGTTAGACTTCTTCATGATGGACTGCAAGGCATAGAATGTTTTTATGCTGCCGCTTAGATTTTATGCTGCAAGATTAGCCGTCTAATACCAGGCATTCTGTGTATTCGATAGAACAGTTGGCGTCTTTATTTTCTCTGTTGCTCAGCTATAGAGATTGTACTCTAGAGTGAAACCTTTTTTTAATGCTTTAATAAACCTTTATATATTTTAAGGGTCTGCTTTATTTGTGTGCATTTAACCGCTGCGGTGGCTCAAGTGGTTAAGACGCTGAACTGCAGGCTGTGGAAGGTCAGTAGTTCAGCAGTTCGAGACCCGGGTGCCGCATGATGGAGTGAGCTCCCGTCTCTGGTTCCAGCTCCTGCCAACCTAGCAGTTGGAAAGCAAGAAATTGCAAGTAGATAAATAGGCACCACCTCAGTGGGAAGGTAACAGCGTTCCGTGCGCCTTGGTGTTTAGTCATGCCGGCCACATGACCACGGAAACGTCTTCGGACAGCGCTGGCTCTTCGGCTTGGAAACGGAGATGAGCACCGCAACCCTAGAGTCGTATTTGACTGGCTTTCGAACAAGGGAAACCTTTACCTTTAACCGCAAGGACCCACAGGGCTGGGTACCGCTCAAGGGACAAGGAGGGAGCAATAACCCAGGAGGACCAAGGCTTGGATTTCTGATATCAGGTTACGGAGGTCAGTTCCTGTGGAGAAAATGGCTGCCTTGGAAGGTGGACTCGAGGCATTATACCCAATGAGGTCCCTCCTGTCCCCAAATCCCGCCCTCCCCAGATTCTAACCCAATCTCTGGGTATTTCCCAGCCCTGAGCTGGCCAACCCTATCCTAAGGATTCTTCCTCAGGTTGCCAACCTCTAGGTGAGACCTGGAATCCTCCTGGAATTAGAAGAAGAAGAAGAAGAAGAAGAAGAAGAAGAAGAAAGGAGGAGGAGGAGGAGGAGGAGGAGGAGGAGATTGGATTTATACCCCGCCCTTCACTTGGAGTCTCAGAGTGGCTTACAAACTCCTTTCCCTTCCCCTCCCCACAACAGACACCCTGTGAGGTGGGGTGGGGCTGAGAGAGCTCTGACACAAACTGCTCTTTTTCAAGGACAGCTGTGCCAGAGCTGGTGACTGACCCAAGGTCACATCAGCAGGTGCAAGTGGAGGAGTGGGGAATCAAACCCGGTTCTCCCAGATTAGAGTCCGCACACTTAACCACTGCACCAAACGGGCTCTCCAGATGACAAAGGATTAGTTCCCCTGGAGGAAACGGCCGTTGCAGAGGGCAAAGTCAATGGAAGCACATCCCAACTCAGCAGGGCTGGTTCCAGGTTTCAGTGGGCCCTTGGCAGAGGGCTCTTAGGGCGCCCTCCCCTTCCCCATCAGGACCCCTGTTCATGCTAGGGGTGCCAGACCCCCCCCCCAGTTTGGGCAGGAGTCCCCCGGTTTTGTATGCTCTTCTCTACCCCCCCCCCACAGTTACCCTCCCAAACAGGCAAGAAGCCAGAAATAAAGATGACGTCTCTACGTGACCGAGAAGTGATGTAGGCACGTCAGTGATGGGGGGGTCATGCTCTTTTGGGGCAAAAACGACGGTAAAGCTAATTCTACCATAGAGTTTTTCCCCCAAAACCAGAGCGTCACTCCCTGAGGTCCCCAATGTGCCTACGTCAGTTCCGGGTCACGTAGGCACGTCGCATTTATTTTCAGCATTGCTCCCCACTCCCGGTAAGCTTACCCCCAGTCCCCCGCCGGCAGGTCCGAGGGACCTGGCAACCCTCGCTCAAGCCCTTCTTCCTTCCCATCCAACTGCACGCCTCTCACCTGCCTGTAGGTCCTTACCTGTAGGTCCTGCCTGTCGGTCTTTACCCAGCCCACTCGCAAGGCCTCCCACGGCCCACCTGCAGCTCTTCTTTTCCTGGTGGGAACGGCAGGGATTGTAGTTGGAATGAGGCATTGCCAGCAATAGAGTGGGGGAAGTATATCAGTAGCTTTCCATGGGGTCGCGAAGAGTCGGACTCGACTGGGCGACTGAACAACAAATATGTAGGAACTCTC